TGTGAAACTCTCTCCTTTCTCCTTCTTCTGGAACTCTTACGGCGCAAGTCTCGACCTTGTACTACTTCTTCTACGATCCCTTTTACGCGATCCTAACAGAAAAAGTGCCAGGAAAAAAATGCTGAAAACATCTCCTCAACTTCCATTTCACTCTTACATTATTGTATTGTTATCACTTCATCTGACAGTTCCCGGAAGACCTGATTCTCTCTGTGTTGTGATAGGTCTTTATTTCTCTTCATTTTCTTTTGGCTCTGGCTTGTTCTTCCCTTCTCCCTTACCCTCCTTCTTTGGTTTCTTCTGTGGGAGTTCTGTCTCATAGATGATTGTATTGTATGAATTGCACCCTTGCTCGCAGCCCACGTAAGATTAAATTTTTTATGGTAGTCTCATATTCAGTGAGCATGATCATTAACTCTATAAAGGATCCAATCACAAAAGGTGAAAAAAACGCATGCCTACATAGCTGGCTGTGACTCTGTCTGGAGAAAAACGCATGGCAATGGTTATCTTCATGGGAACTATCAGGAAATGGCTCCAATCAAGGTGGAACTCATCTTGCAGCTGGGCCACTTCTCTGCTTATTCCACATCCAGTATCATGAACACCTACAGTGTTAATTGGCTATTCAAGAACAATCTGAACAACTGTTAGGAATCACTCCTAACGATTTGTCAGCGTTGCTGAGGGTTAGGGTCCAGATCCCGATCCCAGCTGATTTCCGATCTTAGTCAGATTTCCTTTCTTGGCGCTCTTTGAACGTGATGGTTGCTATTGTTCTCATCTTCAAACATTGATAGTTATTATCATTTGTGATCAACGCATGGCCTGCGCATGGCCTATGTGTGGCTCAACACGTTTTCTTTCATGGTGGAATTTCTTCTTCTTAGAATTTCTTATTCTTATTGTTATTCCATTCGCTTAAACACGAGCCATTTCCTTGTTTCTCTTCAGTTCAAATACCGTATGATAGCTTGTTGTGTTGCACCCTTTTCGACAAAAGTCCAAAAAACTGCACATCCTGTTTTTCTTTTTTTACCAACCACCAACCAACCACGAAATGGATTATCGCTCCACGGCCGAAGGTGTTGGCTTTGAGCAAAACAGGAACAAGCATTCCTGCAGCACAAGCACTCAGGCCAAAAGAGCCTGCTGCGGTCTGCAAGTCAAAGTCGGAGACGTTTTGACTTCCGAACTGTGCACCATTCCATCACCAGCATCGGATTCGAATACTGAGGAGGCAATGACTCTCACCCTTGGAATGTGCCAAATTGGCTTCATGCCAAGAATGGACAAACCGCACTTTCAGTTCTACGCCACGGAAAAGATGGCAACAGTCATTGAGCTCTATAGCCAGAGCGAATCCAAGTCAAAGAGAGCAAGAAGCAAACACAACTACGGAATGGTTCTCCTCAAATTCACTCGTGACATTGTCTCTGACGCTGAAACATTCCCACTTTCCTCGGACAACAACAATGCTGAACCAGAGCCTCCAATAAAGAAGGCAAAAGTCGCAAAGAAGCGCGATCCTGCAAGTGGTGGATATAAGTGCAGCATTTGCTCTTTGCCTGGGCACAACAAAAAAACGTGCCAGAATTCGAAGAAAGAGAATTGATTTTGAGTCATATAGAATAATAAATGAAAGTATATGCTCATTCCTCACGTGCTTGCAAACTTTGTGGCACCAAATTCCCATGTGTGCCCAATGAATGTCATAATCACCTCACGCATGTAAGGAGAGTTTGGGTTCACATTCTTGAATGTATTGCGTGCCTCTGTGACCTTGTCCTTGAATGGCCTGTTGAGACCAACATCCAAAAGCTGTTGGTTTGAAGAGCCACGTCCACTGCTGGTGATTGGGCAGCATGGGTCTTGCGTCAGAAACTCAAGTTGTGGCAGCGGAGAAAGCGCCACATATACTTGCGCACGCTTTTCGATTGCCACCAAGCAGGCGTGGTTCCGCTTCCAAAAACTTTGACATGACCTTGTTGATGGAAACTTTGCAGCCGAGGGAGCGCGACTTGAGGATGTCTTCACGAATGAGGAGCTCATGCTCTTTTGCGACGGGAGGGCGTCCTTTGTGGAGAGAAAACTTGCTCTTGTCAGGGGCAGCCATCAAAGCATCGTATTTGTACGCCCATTGCGAGATTTGGGAGCGTTGGACTCCAAACTTCCGCGCAACAGCTGAATGGTTCGGGTTGCGATGGTAGTAATCGACTACTTGAATCTTGTACCGGATGGTACGCTTGAGCTTCTTGGGGATGCGGCAGGCATTCGCGGTTTGGCGTGGCTTGCCGAATCAACCGTCTTTACGAGGAGGAGTGGGCGCGGGTGTCAACGGTGGATGGTTCTCTTGGTTCGCGTTGGGGGCCAATGGGTGAACCAGGTGAACTGAGGTGGGGGTGCAAGCCTGGGGGAGTTGGTTTGGTCAGCAACAAGAATCGAATCACACAAATTAAAAGGCAATCTTACATTGTACCGAAGGCCTGCATTCATCCACAGGAAACGCAGGAGTCATAGAAGCAACCAGGGCAGCATCTTGCGCTGTTTGTTCTGTGTCAGAAATTTGTTTTAGGTGCAATGTGATCACATCTCACACACAACCAACACCTTGATGGATAAGCTTACCTTCTTTGAGCTCCAATGGATCCATTAAACTCAAGTCATGCTCACCATCATTGGCATCAATGACATCACTGAAGTCGTCAAACAAAGGACCGTCTTCATCCTCGAAATCATCGACCTCATGGTTGGAGATACCACCCTCGTGCTCGTACTGAAGGATGCCGTCTGCTTCGGGCATGTCCTGGTAAGCGTTGTTGTCTTCTTCATTCAAATCAGGCACTGTCATTGTGAAACAAATCAGTTTAGGTCAAGTTTACTATGAATTGTGGTGTATATACATACTGGTTGCTGCTGGTGTAGGGTCCCTGCCATGTCTGGAGTTGGTAGGGGCGACACCAGATGGGTTTGAGGGGTGGAAATTAACCCTTTGAGTGGGTCATTTTGTAAGAGCAAAAAAAAATGCTCCAACTCGAACCGAGCGATGCAAATTCGCAGTGACCCCCCCACTGTCGCCACCGACCCAGCCAGCCCCACCAACGACACGTGCACCTGTCTGGAGGTTACTACTCAGTGCCTGACTACATTTCGCAAGTGGAAAGACAAAATGGAAGTGATTTCGAGCCTGACAACAACAGACGGCAATCCACTTCCTGACAAAACAAGCGCTTCAAGGCCTACCAGATCTCTACAAAGATGTTGCACTACAGAGAGGGACAGAGACTCCCTGATAGTGAGGGCACTAATGGCGCTGCTGGAGATGACGCGCGGGATACTGGGGAGGAGGACAATACTGGAGCTTGGGATGATCAGCTGCATCTGCCATTCTTGAATGCAAATCAAATCAATTGCAGTGTTTGTGGGATGCAGTCTCAGTTTAGTTGTGGTGGATGTGGTGGAGCCAGATTCTGTTGCCAAAGTAAGCGCAACTGCTTCTTCAATTACCATTACGAAAATGCAGTTGCGCTTGATTTGGTGAAACTTAAATGGAAGAGGACTAAGAGGCTTTCAGATTGATGCCTGTTTGGTGATTGATGTGTGGTTTGGAGTTATAATAAAGTGTCGATCCGCTTCGATTCGCAATCAAAAAAAATAACGATATGGTCGAAGTAAAAGCTCAGATTGATGCACATGCCTTTATATTAACCAAAAAAAAAGAAGTGGAGGTCTTAGGGTACATATTTGGTTGGGAAAAGTGTTGGGTTTGATCCCATGACCCCATGTCTGATTGCGAATATCTCATTCAATTTTTAATATTTTTCAAAAATTCTTTCAAAATCACATCCGCCACCGGCTATTTGCTATATTCTCAAAATTTGAGGGCATGTTATAAGTAAGAATTTGTCGACCCACAGCAGCATTTTTTGGCCATTATGCAAATTTGCATTCGACCCATTCAATGGGTTAAAGTTGGTTTTTTTGCACTTTTTCGGCGGAACATCGCTCTTTATATTCTCTTGTGATTGCGTGATTTAAATATCAGGCCATGTTTCAAGGAGGAAAATTGAAGAATTCACTAGTCATGAATTAAAAATTGTGGCACCAAATTTTTTTGCACATCAGGGTGCAACACGACAAGCTATTGTATGGTATAAAGCTTTCTAGCCTGTGAAACTCACTCCTCCTTTCCGTTTCTGGACCTCATACAGTGCAAGTCTCGATCTTGCACTCTCTTCCTTGCTCCAGCACCCTTCTTCTGCTTCTTCTACACACTCTCTAACAGCAACACTCGTGGCATTTGGATGATTGCAAACCCCAATGAGTCGATTTAATTATACCCTTTGAAAACTCGTAAATATGGGCAGATGGCCGAGCGGTCTAAGGCGTCACGTTAAGGCCGTGATCCATTCGTGGGCGTGGGTTCGAATCCCACTCTGCTCAATTTTCGCTCTATAAATGGGTTTGGTTTTGGCATTGCAGTGACTTGAGCCGGTTCTCCACTTCAGATTGTATGAAATTTTTGGATAATTCCTTCTCAGCGATGAGCAGTTCCTCTGTGGCGACCCATTTTCTATTCTCGTCTTTCATTTTTCCTGTCCCTTTTTCCTTTTTGTTCTATGAAAGAGCGTATTTGTCGCTTCTGATGCTGAGATTCTTCAATATTGAGGATGGGAGATCACGTCCAGGCAAGTCCCTCTCTCTGCAGCCCACCCAAGCAACTTGAACCGACCAGAAAGCAAGCACCACAATTTATTCACTCATTCAATGATTGATGTCGCAGGAGGAGAGCCATGGCCACTACTTCTGTTGAGTCCAGTAGAAACACGCTAGGAGAAGGAATTGTGCAATTATCCTATCACTGCTCCATTCAATATCACTGCGAACCGCTTTGGTATGCAGCATATTTGTGATGTAAGATTAATCTAATGGATGGCTAAATGGGTATACTATGCCTCGCATCAGTTCCCTCCTAATGTGCAGGAGTGTATTTGTTCCACTTCTTTTATTTAGCTCACAGAAAAGTTTTTGAGATGGCAGCCAATCAGATCATGAATAGAATTGAACCCTTTTTTCCCTACCTCCATTCCTCTATTTTTCACCCTGGAACAGTAACCGGATATATCGCCATTCATTGCCACAGCTCATCACTGAACAGTGAATCTGTTGAATATCCATAGTCATGATGTTTGTTAGGATGTCGTGGATATCGACCTACATACATATTTTTGGATGGTGGATGTCAAAAAAAAATTCAAGTTTTGTTGTCTCATCAATCATTGTGGCATCAAAATCTCATTATTGATGTGCAGGCAATTCATGCCGCTGAATATTATATCAATTTTCCGTCAATGTGTTCGCGGATGGAATTTACTCCAATCATTTGGATAAATTTTTTTGATTCTTAGGGATGCCAAGCTTGACCACTTTGCAAATAATTTTTCTGGGTGATCACCTTTGTGATAAACAGTTTCTGTTGCCTGGGCAGCAGCAATATCGGTTTGCATGGATTGTCATGTAGTTAGTAAAAAAAATCATAACATAACACATCCTAGATCGTCTAGTGGCTAAGATTCCGCCCTCTCACGGCGGCGACCGGGGTTCAATTCCCCGTCTGGGAGGTTCTATTTATTCAATATCCTTTATGTTCATTAGTTTGCGTTTTGCGCGAATTCTGTCGTTTTTTAAAAATTTAGGAAAAAACTTTTTAAATCTTTTTGATTTGATCTATGCACCAAGCACTGCTTTGCTCCCCTCCAAATTGCCGGAAGTAACCTTGGCAACTGAAACCAACTCTTTGCAAGAAAAATGGCAACCACCCACACACACAGGTTTTTTGGATTTTGGCTTAGATCCCCCCTCTCCAATATTGGGAGAATATATGCCTGAAGTATGTGGTTATTGCTGCTGAAGTGGCCAATGGGGGAGAGCATGTTATAAGAGGGGGGGGGGGGGGGGGGGGTTAATTTTTTTTCAATTTTACCGAAATGGTTCTTAACTTTTTGCCCAAAAAAAAAAAAAAATTTGAAAATGTATT